GACGGCGACGGCGACGGCGACGGCGACGGTGACGGCGACGGTGACGGTGACGGTGACGGTGACGGTGGTGGAGGCGACGGTGGCGGAGACGAATGAATAAATGCAGGTGCTAAATTAAGAAAAAACCTTCTAACACGTAGTGTAGTCAAAATCTCTATTTTTTTATGTTTTGTATTCCTGATTTCAAAAACCAATTGATGGCAAAACCGCCCCGTGCCTCTGTCCTTCCGTCCCTGAACACCACTAGCGCCTAAACCATACGTACGATTTTTTCAAAATGGATATTCCCCAGTCGATCTGTCTCCACTCAAAGCACCGCGATTTTGAAAAACTTTCTTCAAAATTTAAGAGCATGAGAGATATTTTAAAAAAATATTTGTGTATTTTTCAAAAAACAAAAGTATTTTAAAAAAATGAAGTTAAGCGTTACTGTTAATGCGAAATGTGAAGCTCGTTTTACAGAAAAGTATTGAGTTTTCGAAAAGTTCATTAGAATTCATTTCATGTGCTTCCAGTCACAAATGCAATAGTGTGTACAATTTGCTGAAAATGTGCATATGAAAGGTATAATAGATATTTTTAAAAAACTAAATTGATGTAATTTTTAATAAAAAAAAAGTATGCAACAACATAAATTTTACGTCTCATTATACAATACAATCACACAATCTGTTCGAAGGCTTTAAAGAAAAAAAAGTGAGCCATTTTTGAGCAAACTGCTTTTGAGCGTTTCTGAAAATGCGGAAAATTTATCTCATTTTCACAGAAAACCATTGAGTTTTCGAAAAACTTGATCTGACATTATTTAAAGCACATGATGCATAAATACAATAATATGAACAAATTGCCGCTAATGTAAATATTCACGGCGCAAGTCATGTGAATTAGTTTTTTGTAATTTTTGAAAAAACAAAAGAACATTTACGAATATGTCATCTCATAGAGTGCATTTAGCACTAGCACTACCAAACGTTCTCAGATAACATTTTGGAGCCTTTTTGAACTAAAATGTATTTTGGTAATTTCGTAAAATTATAAGGAGTGGTTTCAATAATGTTAACGGTATTATTACTTTATTTCCAAAGAATGCCAGAAAGAAAAAAAACGGAACACTAACGGAGATAATAAGCTAAAGAAGACACGAAATTGAAGAGAAGCGAAGAAGAAGGGAATCAAAGAATAAGCGAAAAGATGAAGAGAAGAAAAAGAGAAAACAAAGTGTAAGGGAAGCGAAGAGACGAAGCAGCGAAGGAGGCAAAACGAATAAGATGGAAAAACGAAACGAGATGAAACAAAGAGGGGACGAAACTAAGAACAGAAGAAAATCCGTCAGTCATATTACTTTATTTTCAAAGAATGTCAGAAAGAGGAAACGGAACCCTAAGCAAGGTAAGATGCAAAATGGAAGAGAAACGAACAAAAGAAAAAGCGAAAGGAAGAAGCGAATTAAAGGAGGAACAAAGATAAAGAGAAGCGAAGAGACGGAGCAGCGAAGGAGGCAAATCGAATAAGAAGGGAATTCCGAATCGAGATGAAACAAAGAGGAGACGAAACGCAAAACAGGAGAAAGGAAGAGTCTGCACCCGAAGAAGCGGCGAAACGAAAAGGAGGAGAAGGCAACAGCGCCGCGCGGGCGACGTGGCGGCTGGAAACAGCAGACGGCGCAGATCCTGCGGCGGAGACGGCGCCCCGCAGCCCCTCCGGGGAATCGAACATCTGTCCCGGGGCGGGGCCCTTGTTGACCCAGCGCGGTGCAACGCAGCAGCACACGGCTGCTTCCGCTCCCCTCGCCCCACCCTCACCCCACCCCTCCCTCATTTCCACCCTCCCCTCGCCCGCGCCGCCAAAGTTAGCCCCCGCGGGAATCGATTGCGGTGAACTATGGAGTCGGTTCTCCTCGGTTCGAGTCGCGGGCCGAGATGAACCGCCCGGGAGACGTCGCCGCAGAGGCGTCGCCCGCCTGCACAAAGAGAGAGGGAAACGCCGCTTCAGGAGCAGTCAACACTTGCTTCGGGGTGCAGCGGTGTTTGCCTATTTTACGACCCGGTACGCTTAACAGGCGGTTAGCTTGCAGCTATTCAAATACCCGTTCCTCCAAATTCGATAATTACGTTGATGTGGCATGTACGAATGGAACAATATCGACTGGCATGCAGTGGTGCATACTCCACATTACTTGAGTCTCCTATCGTGGAAAATAAATTAAAAGTGAGTGTGGAATTTGTTATAAATATTTCAAATATCATTTTCTACATAGTACTATATACGAAGAGCAATGAGTATTCTCACTTACCTAATTTCGAAGAAACGAACCGTGAAGAGCGGTACCTGGAAGAAAAGGTAATAACATAACAATTATTTCCTCAAAATATATTTTCTTGAGTCGTGGAATCCCTGCCCCATTTCTTAGATCAACATTACCTGAATAAGGGATAAATGAAAACGAGTGTGGTTTAGAAAATATAATTAAAAGATAACTACAATGTGTGCACATGTGTATTTCATCAAAATCGAACGTGTGTATTGCATTGAAAAATAATTTTGCGTCGAAAACCAATATTTGATATAATTGTTTTACCCTCAACACAACCAAACCCCCACTCGATTGTCCTCTGGTGAAATAAGGCCTCAAGAAAACGTGAGCGGATAATAGTGAGTATTAATAAATTCAAAGTCAAATTAAAAATACACTGTTTTATTAGGACACTACCAAAAAATATCGTCTTATCAACATGATCGGGTGTCACTAACGCAACTTGTCGGCGCACGCAGCAAGAAGTGAAAAATGTACAACGTGGTTATTCATGAATCAAATATAAGAAGCTCGAAAGATAATCGGAACATAAACGTCCTGATTCTTATGATAATCTATAATTGTTAAATAGAAGAGTGATATTTCAATTCAACTGTTCAAAGTACGCATTCAATCGATTATATAGTGCTTATACGACGTGCAGAACTTTGGCTTATAAAGAAACTAATCCAGATCGTTTTTCTTTATATATTTGTTTGTTCTTTTTACTTATATTTATTTCATCTGGATTTTTCGTTTCGATCGTTTTCATTCCGATACGTTGTGTATCCGGATGAGAGAGCATTGTATTGGATTTGACCACTGCGCGAGGAAGGTGGTATTCTTCAGGAGAGTGTGGGTGTATGCTTTCATCTCACGCAAGCGGCTTCGTTGAACTCATGTATGACCTCGCCGGAGAAGCGGGCACCTGAGAAGCCAGCCGATGAAGTTTTTGGTGCATGCCTAACATTTCTTTGCACAACGGGATACACAGAATACATTTTTACACACAGGATCCAACACCAAGAAACTGTGTCATAATTGTTCAGTCAAAACTGTTCACTAGTTTTGCAAAGCACACATTAAGTCTGCTTCGAACTATGCGTCTCGCCTCCTATCCTTGTACGTATCGCCAACGCATCAGAAAACCCGAAATGCGTCGTTCAGCTTTCTGAGGGCGCTGAAGATTCGTCATCCTGTCACTTGGGGCGCCACGTGTCCGACAGCTTGTAGCCATCGTCGTTGCCGACGGGCAGCAACCCAGGCGAAAGTTCGGTGTACTCTATCATCCGCTGAAACTCTTCCCGCCACCAAGTTCCCAGAAACAACACAGCGCCGTTTCCCACGCGCCAGAATATCGTGCGTTATCACACGTTTACCCGGAAATCTTTCCAATGCATCGAGCTCGTGAGAGGGCAGGGTTGGCAACTATTGTGGACAAATTTGTCACCTCGCGTTAGAAAACTACTACCCAGCTTCCTGCAAACCTGTCATCATTAACGTCCAAGAGATACAGGACTCGATTTGCATTGTTTCCATGCAAATATGTAGTAAATTTGTTTGACATGCAAATACGTTGGTTAAATCTATACATTATTGCTTAATTTCCTAAAGCATCAACGCTGTAATGTTTGCATCTGAACGTGTTTCAATAGAAAATAGTATTTTTTTACTAAACATTTTTATTTTATATAAAATAGTTATGGTTTGTCCGAAGAAATGTGACTAGCTCATCGTAGCTCATTGACTCCATAAGGAATTTGAATAGCATATAACTGTTCCTTGAATTTCACACCAGTTCTCGAGAAAATCACTAGCAAACAAACACTTCATGCTAATTTTCTCATGGCATATGTACACTGACTATTATAGCGCAAATGAATATTTTTCTGTCTAAATAATACCCGAGGTTTCACCTCGTTTCATTTTTCCAACCAGTGTTTTAGGAAGTTTCAATAAAATGTTAATTTAGTGGTTAAATATTTTAAAAAATCGCTATTATTTCTGAATAGTTAATAGAAAGTATTAATTTTCAGCACCACAAAAGCTTAAACAGAAAGGCTCACTGGACAGAATTACAGAAAACTTTATTTAATTACCGATGACCTGTTATTTATCTCGACTGCTATATTATTACGTAAATTAAATGACAATTGGATTACAGTAATACAGGATTCGAGGAATTAAAACGCAGATTTGCACATTGCTGGTGACATGTATGGTCTGAGCATATTCAGGAATGAACTTTCCATTACTGTTTGAAATCAAATTAAGCAATTACAAGCTGTCTCGAAAACATGCATGTGAATGAACATATTTTTTCAAACTAATTAGAGTATCGTGATTCTATACCTCAAATAATATGGGAGAGTGACTATGAAATTGAAATATTATTCATTATGTCATGGTTATAAACTCTGAAATACGTCACTTCAGATCGACTAGTTTAAGGTAAAAGTGTTATTTTCTTGATATATAGTTTCAGGGCATCATTACGCGTGTACTTCTATTTTTTTAAGGTGGCCTATGACATTAAGCCTCCTTACACCTCCTGCCTTCATAAAGTGAATCTTTTAACAAGAATTTAGTAAAAGAAATCTGAAGCCACGAGACCCCGAGATCTGAAGCAACTTTCGCGAATTAATTAAATAAATTAATTTTATAAAGTAGGAGGTATAACAATTATCTAACGCCATCGGCCACTTTAGAAAAACTGAAGTATAATCATCGATAGTTGACTCTGATCACTCTCAGATGACAGGAATACTTCTATTAATCCATATGAAGGTTCGTCTTGGCCCGAGTTATGCGAATGCCGAACATGATATATTTAAATTAGCGCTATTTATTTAGAAACAGCCGACCTGGAAGGCCGAGGTGGCTTAAAGCGTGTATATATCAGCGCTTCTGTCCGAAGGGTCGAGGGTTCGAGTGCCGCCTTGGGCTAGTTTGTCCCTTGCCTCTCAAGCATGTGTTGTCGGGGAGGGCTTGACATTTTGCTGACCTCAGAACAGAGGAGCCCGCAAAGTATGTTAATGTCTAGTGTATGGTCAAATATGCGTTCCATCGGGACGCAGAAGGTAGCCAGTTGTCAACTGGAAATAGCCCTAAGAAGAAGATACGACACATATTCATATTTTCAGATAAACATCTTGGCAGTGACGTTACCAGCCGTTAGCATCTAGAGAAATGACGGCTAATGTTTGAATAACTTGAAAAATATATGAAATTTAATTCTTTGTGACCAACTTGAAATGAAGAAAACGTGACGAATTTTTTTGGTATCATAAATTACTCAATTGGAAGATACTCTTTCGACTATCTCGCACTAGTCAACTTTCACAAGGTATTTTTCATAATCCAATACACTGTGTTTAAAGTTTAAATGTAGTTTTCGAGTTTATCAACAATCGATGCGTTTTCTTTACAGAAACGCGTTGTTAATGGTGTACATTTCGAGGTAAGTTGAAATAGCAAGATATGGAAAGCAATTTGGAAGGTACCCGAGTATAATAGATTAGAAAGACATCTGAAGTCAAGAATTGAAGTGGATGTTTGAGAGATTGCTGGGGACTATTTAAGTGGTGTGGACGAAGGTAAAGTTTTTCTTCCTTATAAACCGATAAAACAATGCATTCATCTTTCAATTGAAATTTCCCTACTCTTGATGAGTTGGGAGAAGGGATTTCAATCCCACTAGAAACTTCAATTATTGAAAGTGAATCTTCCGATTGGATAACCCTTCTTTTCTAATTTCTAATTACCAAGTGTAAAAAAATTAAATGGAGAATAGTTAATTACGCATCAGTATATGCAAGCTGTGCCAGAACATATTATAATCTCAAAATAAGTCTACAAGAGAACATGAGCAACTTTCTCGCTACGGAGTAGAAGGAAATGCTGTAATGCTGCGCGAAAAAAACAGCAGAAAACTCTTTATTTCCAGATCAGGTAACGGAAAAAAGTGGATAAATCCAGTTACTAAATTTAGGAAAAAAAACTATAACGGAGTGAAGCTTAACCCATTTTTTGTGGGTCCGTGATACGGAAAAATCGAATGATGGGGAAACGTCCGTCCACGTGTCTACCCGTCCACCCGACCATCCGTCCGCCCGCTTGTCCGTCCGCCCTCTAAAACAACGCTGGTGGCTAAACAGTTTACTCCAAAATTGATATTCCTCAATCGATCTGGCGGATGCCACCCTCCTTTGAATTTCAAGACGATAATTTAATTTTGGGGGAGTACTTTACATGAAGCCCCTAGGACATTTTCTTCGATTAAATTTTGTTTTTGGATTGTGCGAAGGAATTTTCAGAGAATGATGTAGGTCTCATTTTCGATAAAAAGTGTAAATTTACGAAAATTACCAAATTTTAAAATTGTTTTGGCGTCTTCCTACAAATACAGTAATGAAGATAGAAACGTATTCCCTTAATGCAATCTGTTCCTTAAAGAAAGGTTTTGTAATAAAGTCATGTACTAGGATCCTGGCATTTTTACCATGATTTTAAGGAAGATACCACTTACCGAAATGAAAACATTATGGTACGTTTAACTACCAAGATTTTAAGTGTACGGTAATTGATCTACGGTATACAACTTTTTAGTAATTTATCAATAATTTAAATCTAAGACCAATGTTACAAGTAACTACAATATTGCTGAAAACACTACCGTAAAAACATTACGAATGATATAGGTTGGTGTTTTTCTAGTACAAGAAATATTAGAAAAGATTATAACGTGGTCTTCTATTTAGTTTATCGATATAAAATCATTCTTTGTTGACCTAAGTTTAAGGAACTTCCTCTGCGCGTTAAAACCTAAGAGATATAATATAAACAATTTCATATTTAAATCAATTGACAATAATACTACGAATTTTAGCGAAAAACAAATAGGATTTTGGAAGCTTGGTACAGAGATATACATTTAATCGGGCAACGCTGTGCGCCTATGAGAGCAGAGGCAACGAAAAGTCTCCCGAGCAGTGTTGCCAGATGTTCCAGGAACCTGATATTTTTATCAGAATTTTAATGAAGATACCATGTACTAAGATGAATTCATCCTGATACGTTTCAATAAGAGGATTTTAAGTCTACGGTAACGTACGATTTAAGATTCCTACAATATTCTTTTAATCAATAATTTAAAACTAACTCATATGTTACAATTATCTATGATATTGGTGAAAACATTAAGGGTGACATAGGGTGGTCTAGTTCTAGCAGGTACTACAGTAGAAAATAATAAAACATTTTAGTCTTCCATTTAGTTTATCAATATAAAATAAATCGATATCGAGTGACATTTTACGAGCTTCCTATTTTCGTTAAAACATAATAGTTATAATTCGAACAATTTCATATGTAAATCAACTGTCATTGGTACAAAGTATTTTAGAAGAAGTACCAGGATTTTTGGAGATTTGTACTGTGATGTACGTTTCATCATGTGGCAACACTGCGAGCAGAGGCAACGCACGGTCTCCCGAGCCGAGTCCCGGGGCACGTCACGTTGGTCCTCGGGCAGAAGAACGGCTCCACGCCGCTTTAATATCCAAATCCGGAAGCATATTGAATCTTGTCGGATTTCTTCCCACCGAAATAGCCGTCTTCCCCGATCTGGTTTAAACGGAGTCTGCATCTCATTTTATGACGCGTAGCGCCACACGCTGTGGACCGGGTGGGTGACAAATGTGACCCTCACGACAGACGACGTGCCGGGTTTTGTGACGCGTTCGTGCGCACGTAATTCGAAATTTATTGATTCGAATTGCATATTGCGCGAGGAATAAAAGAAGATTACGTAGCAATACGTTCATAAGCAAGAATATGATAAAGTGGGTTCCGTGTGTTCTGTTCAGAAACAAAATTTGGTAAGACTATGTAAGAATTGTATACATTTCAGAGAAGGACATTTCCTTGGCGTAAAATTTAAAAAAATCAAAATTGCAAACTCTCCAGTGTTGGCTCTGCAATAACATGTTTTGTATTTTTTTGCCAACATCTCATCACTGTAGGTAAATGTGGATATTTGCATTGTTTATGCTGAAACAAGGGAACATTTTCTATAACTTGTCTGAAATAATGATTTCACTGTCCAAAATAGTTCTACCATTCTTAAAATTCCTCATATTTTTTCGAGAGACACAAACGCAATGAATAATAGTTTATGAAGTAAAAATATGTTTTGCATTAAGCAGGAGAGTCTATTTCGCGTAGCTTTAGTTATCCATTGTGTGCTGAGACGAGTCGCAACCAGCTACGCGGAATAGTCGCATACTGG